TCAGCTGTATGTGTGGATATAGGCCTGTCAGAGTACATAATGTGTGGAGTGTGTGCCACATGTATGCATGTATGCCTCTCTGTGTGCGTGTGCTCCTGGTCTGGTATTGCCTGCTTATGTTAGGCCCACTTGCATGCAGGCCCCAGAAGGCTGGCCATGAGGAGAAAGGTTTCCTCATTTGTATGTACGTTTGAGAGGGGAACATGCACACTTTCCATTTACTCCAGAGGTTGATCACACCCATTTGCACTCAGGTTCTGCTTGAGGACTTCCCATAATGGGAAGTGTGGATGAACATTGTAAGGACAGTATGCTGAACCAGGTGTTCCTTGGATCTAATCCAACTGCAGTCTTTATTTCTCCTTATTAAGTGGAGAAACTTAGCTTCAGCACTCCAATAGCCATAACCCACTCTGCTCAATTCTTATCACATGCTCACACAGGCCAAAGCTCTTCTCTCTCTCTCTCTCTCTCTCTCTCTCTCTCTCTCCCCTTCTGCCTCATTCAAAACTTTGTTCTTTTTCACACAAAGACTTATTGCCTTTCCCATGGGTTGAGGGAAAGACAGATCTGTTCATTTAGCAACGTTGTCGCACATAGCAGAATAGCTATTTCCTGTCATTACTGAGATGAGCTTTGAAGAACCATCACTGTTTTATTCCCATGGCATCACATCACCTATATATTGCCTTATGAAAGAGTATGCCAGCCTAGCTCTGCCCAGCTGGCATGATAAGCTATCAATCTTCATCTTTACTACATCCCAAGCTTTAGATTCACTAAATTGGAAGGCAAAGTAGAGGTCAGCATTCCAAAGTCACAAATCTTAATGCTGTGATGACCCATTGGTCCAACTCAATATCTTCCCTGGCAGGGCTAGATCAGCCATGAACTAGCAACAGCTGCTCATTGCTTCAAACAGAGATCATACCCCAGTCTCCTATATGAAATCCTTTAAGTGGGTATAGCATGGAATGGACCTAGAATCTTATGCATGCAAAGCATGTGCCTTAACTCTGAGCAATGATGAACCAGCCTGGAGACTGCACTTTGATGTCCTTTGAGCAATACGTTTATGCATATAGGCCTTTCTAGACACGACTTGGCAAGCCTGCAGCTTGATTAGTAGTAGTAGTAGTAGTAGTAGTAGTAGTAGTAGTGTAGCAGCAGGAATTTTCAGAACAAAGGAAGAGAGACCAGGGGCTCGAGGAATAACACCTTTATTTATGGCTGCAGCCGGACTTCAGTCCCAAGCAGAATGGAGTCCCGATCTCTGTTCAGATCGATCTTTTATAGGTTTTTCAGAAAGCAAATCTGTATGACGCATTAACATGTAGTGCAGTCCAGAACTCTGACATGATTTATGAAGCAGGACGTTCTGTTAGCCAGAAATTGACATGATTTATGAGACCTTTGACATATTACAAGATTGGACATACAGGATACAGCTTGGCAAGCAAGCAGTAGCAGTTCCTCCCTACAGGCTTTTGATCTTCGAACAAGTCCTTCAACTTTCCTTAGCTAACACACTTTCTCATCCCTTGAGTCTGCCAATCTTCTTATATCGTCCAGCTGGTCTGGTCATGGTAACCTTCCTGAGGAATAGTTCACTCATTACTCCCTTCCTGTAGCATTCTCACAAACTTCAAAGAGACAGCCTAGATAATGTTACTTCCCTAGAATATCATATAAATCTTCCTAATTAGCATTAGCAAGCTTCCTTACTGCTAAACTCTGCCAATTCCAGAGACCAGGTTCAGTCGATCAGAGCAAACTTTTTACCTCTTTGTGAACTGCAAGCTTTGCTGAGAGAAAGTTTCTCCTTTTTACAGGCTCCGGCTTGGGGTTCATTTTGCAAAGAGGCTTGTTACTTTTTACACAAAATTGGGGTTCAGAATAAGTTCTGTTCAGCCCTTCCTTCAGTAGTAGTAGTAGTAGCAGTAGTAGCAGTGCCCCACCCACCTGACTGGGTTCCCCAGCCACTCTGGTTGGCTTCCAACATATATAAAAGCTGCAAAGATCTGTCATTTTAAACCAAATAAAGTACCCTCCTCTCTCTCTCTCTCTCTCTCTCTCTCTCTCTCTCTCTCTCATGCACACACACAGAATTTTGTTTACAACATGAATAAATTATGCAATTACAACATAATAAAAGTAGTCATGAACAATAAAACATAAAAAAATGCACAACAAATGATTTCCACATAAATCATACGAGCTTTTAAAAATAAAAAAATATATCAATAACAGCAACCCTTCCACTGCAACAACCCTGGAACAAAGACGGAAGGGGAGTTAGCATGGAGAGGATGAAAAGAGTGGAGGGAAAGCTTGCATTTGAGGGTGGGAAAGAGGGGAGGCAAAGTTTGCACGGAGCTGGAAAAGAAGGGATCTTTGCCAAAAGAGGGAGAAAGCGGAAGAGAAAGAGCACAAAAGAAGTGGGGTTGAAGATCAGCATTGGCAAAGTGTAGGCTTTGGCTTTTCCCTCTCCTCATCCTTCAGCTGCCGCCCTTCTCCAACCTTGGTGAAAAGCAAACAACGTAGCTGCGTCACAGGGGCCTCTGATCAAGAAGGAGTCAGAAGCTGAGCTGGAAGTCAAGGCCAGAGAAGGAGAGCGGTGGGCTGCAGCCAGAGGAAGATTTAAGTGGGAGTAGCACTATGAGTTGGGGGTCAGATCTGCTGCCCTGAGGTGGTCGCCTCAGGCCCTGCCTTCAGTCAAACCCTGTTTTTAGGTAGGCAGCCAATCTGTGGGTGCTCCCTAAACATCAGGGACTTTGGATTCAGATCTCGGCATTTAACCATTTCCGCCCTTTCCTTTACTGCTTTCAGTTGGACATTAATCTCCAAAATCTTCTGTATCAGTGTATTTGTATTCAGTTTGTTTAGCTTTTTTAAACCTTCACCAAGCATTTTTTAAACCTCCTTGTTCTCTTTCAAGTCATAGCACAATGTGCCTTTTAACTGTCCCCACTGTTCCATCTCTATGTTATAACCAAAGGGTTTTTTGCCCATTTAATCATACATTCTTTAACTTGTTCCTCTTCCATTTGAAATTTCAACAGAAGTTTGAATATTTTTATATATTAGAAGCAACTTGTTCATCATCCTTACAGTTACATTTCAAAATCCATCTCACTTTGTTCCAAAGACAACTTAAATGCCTCTACTAGTTGTAAGTGAGAAAACCACTAGAAGTTATAGCCTTCCACTGTTATTTGTTCCCTTCTTTTATAGTCACTTTTACAGTCTCCTTGGTTTCACTCTAGTAGCTCTTGATAGTTCTCCCACCTGTTTTCTACACCATCCTCTTAGTTGTCCTTCCCAGCTAATGGAGAATGCTAGATGATCAAGGGCTAATGATATAGCTGCACTGTAGGAGATAAAGCTCAACATTCCAGGTTGGTATTAGCATGTTTGCTATAACAGGGTCTTGTTTATCTGCCTTCTTCATATAAAACCTTCCTGGCATGGAAAGCAGCTACAGAATGCTGTCCATCTCGATCAATACACATTTATGTGTTACAGGCAGATGTAACTGACCAGGACCTTTGATGACCCATCTCTATAGCCTCTCACTTCAATTATTTAGTCAATGACTGTTCCCACTGTTCCCACAGAGATGAAAGATACTGTAAATTCTCTTCCTTCTCCAGGCCTTCCTTTATAGGCTGGGGGTTACAGCCACACCCCCAGGACCACCTGCAAACAGTGAGTATTGAGCAACCAGGATTGATTATGGGTTCTATTGCAATAGAACATAAATAATTCAAAGTGACTGACCTAGCTTTATATGTATTCCAGATTCTTAATATAGCACATTTAATAAAGTGGTTCCTAAAGTCCACATTTACTTGATTATACCACATGTATCCATTGTATCCAAACCTTGAATCATGTCTTTCTAATTCCAAAGTCTCTTATTTCTCAGTGTCACCCATCCTTTCAACAATACCAAACAGCAGGTTGCAAAATACACCCTTAAATCAGACAAGCCCAATCCTGAGCTTGTCTTTGCATCTTGCATAAGTTGGAGTTCAACTTGTGCCTTTTCCACCTGCCGTACAAACTTAGATATGTCTTTTTGCCATTGTTTAAATGGTGTGTCCATAGTCAAAATAGGTATTATTTGAAACATGAATGTCATTCTAGGCAAAACTTCCATCTTTATCACATAAATCCTACCTAGCAATGACAATTTTCGTTTCTCCAATCTTAAAGTATCTTTTAAAAATTTCAGCCCATGCCTTAAGATAGTTATTTCAACAATATTCAATTTGCATTTGTCGTGTTAATACCCAAGTATTTTACGTTTTTCTCATTTTGAATCTGTATATTCTCCATCAAAGTATGTTGATTTTATATTGTCATATTCTTTGTTAATATCTCCATTTTCTGGTGAGTAATCTTAAAACTCATTCAATTTATCCATGAGTCTCTTCTCCCTGTAACAGGTTTTCCAAAACTACCATCAAATAATAAGCAAAGGAATGCAGTTTGTAAGTTTCTTTTTAAATATATAAACATATCAAAACACTTCAGGGATTTCTTTTAAAAGGAACAGTAAGCACACAACTTATGCAGGAGTTTTGGGGGTCACACTTAAGAATGTACAGGGACCTTCACGCACCCGATTCCCTACAGATGTTTGGGACTCCAACTTCCACCAACTCTTCCCATTACAGCTAATGAGAGTTAGAATCCAAAATATCTGGAGGCTAGTGAAGGCTGGTGCCTAGAACTGCAGCCAAATTACTTGAGTTCTGGAAGACGTGAATTAATGATATCACACATATATGTGTTCCATGTGTGAACCAAGTACAGTAGGTTATAGCTAGATAAGTAGATGACATACCGTATTTTTCACCCTATAGGACACACTTCTCCTCCTCCGAAAATGAAGGGGAAATGTGTGTGCGTCCTATGGGGCGAATGCAGGCACCGACCCCTCTCACTCTCCAGGCTTCAGGAAGCTCTGCGCAACCCTCGGGAGACCGGCTCCGATGGCCGCGCAGAGCTGCCTGCAGTCCCGGGCTCAGCGCAGCTCTGCGCGGCCATCGGGAGCCGGGGCTCCCAATGGCCGCGCAGAGCTGCCTGCAATCCCAGGCTCTTCCAGAACTTGCTGCATTATATTCTGAATTAGATTCTCTTTCAAATGATATATAAAGTTTATGAAATTTTTGTAAAAATGACTGGTGTTATAGCCATCAAAGCTAAGAAATACAGTACAAGTTTTCATAAAGTTTTTCACAATTTTGGCCACTAGTGTATATTGAGGTAGATTTTTATGTGGATTCCCCATATCATTGCAGTGTTTGATGCAAATGTAACCGGTTGGACACATAGCATTAAAAAAAAAAAAAATCACACAGCCTCTCATGTTCATAGGTGAATGTCAAAGCTTTTGTAGCCAAATAACACCATTTGTGCACAATAATCAGGAGATATCAGGAGGCCCACAGAATGTCAAAGTACAAAAAAGAAGTATGTCTGTTGGTGTAATTAATTGGGAGGGAAAACAACACCGTGAGACCTAAGCTTGCTGAATGGCCATAGAACGTTGACTGATTGTTGAGGGTGTGGGGAATGGAAAGCACACAGGAGACGGAATAGAATGGAGTGTCCTGCAGGAGGGCATGTAGAAGATGGCAGAGAAATATCATCTTTGCCTGACTTATACCAGGTGAGTCAATTTCTGACTGGCTTTTGCTGTAACTAGATAAGAAAACAGGTTTTTTGGAAGAAATATGCATTGGGAATAGGTTGGTGCAAGGACGCTGAACAACAATTAACCAAGTGAGAGAACTAACTAGTCATTTCTTTCTTCCTTCTAAAGAGGTCCATGGAATACTTCCCAAGAGCAAAACTAAAGGAATTGATTTCTGTGGTGTGGACGAGTATTACTACATTGTCTGTTCAGACCTGGGCTGCTACTTGAGATCTACTGATTTCCATCAAGGCAAAGACCTGGATATATTTGGTCATCACAACTCTGTCCGTGGTGGAGACCACTACCTGGCCCATAGTGATGACTTATTTTATGTTATCAAGGGGGACTCTTACCGCCGAGTAACCGACCTGAGCAAAGACAGTGATAGTGTGGTCTCCACTCTCCATCACAACTGCCAAAACGGAGACCATTACTTCTCCCATGATAAGTACTTTTACATTATATTCAAGAAGAAGGGAGTGTACCGCCGTGTCACCAATATGCATGAAGACCTAAATCCCGTTCAGAATGCCCTTCACCCAAAGGTCAAAGACGGTCTGTATTACTGGGGAATCAAGGACTATATATAACTTGTGAAACCAAATAGCAAATGGGGAGTTGAGTATTACCGAATGGATGCCTTTTCAGATGCAAACCCTTCCACATTTTCCTTCCATGCTAGTGTGCTCAACTTCCTCCCTGGAGGCATGTCTATAAATTATGGTAAAGCTTTTGGTGTCTGGCAGCCTGTCAAGACCGTCAGTAATAATGTCAAAGTAAGTGTTGTTTGGGAACAGCAAATTGTTAGTAAGGTTGGATACGTGAAGAAAGAGATGCACAGCATGGAACACAACTGGAAACTATCTTCGACTGTTACAGTTGGGGCATCAGGTCTCACTAAATTACTGTTGACGGCACAAATTTTCCTGACAGCTGAATATGGTGGGGAAAAGATTGACAGCAAAGACGAAACATGGAGCGAAGAAACTGACGTCTCTGAAAAAGTTGGCTTCACTCTGCCTCCAAATACCAACATTCATTTCTGGCAATACAAGCTGGGTTTGGGCAAGGATGACGTATTGTACTGCCGTGACCTGGCTTTTACTGATAATTCTAACCCACCTACTTTTGTCCCATTGCCACCAGCAGCTGCTTAACCCCAAATAACATACCAATAGGCTGCCAATTCTTTCCTCTGTTTTACGGTATTTGAAAATTGTCTCTGTTCAGGCTCTTGGACTTCACCATCTGTATTTTTCTTTACCTGCTTTCATTACTTTGGGAAAGGGCCCTGGCACAATGATAACACATATAATTCACATTCAGAAGGCCTCAGGTGCAGACTCTTTCTCTGAAACCCTTGAAAGCAGCTATCAGTCTGTATACGCCAGGTGTGGGAATGACCACTCCCCACATTAAATGGGGGCACCCTTTGCATGGTCGCGCGCAGCCCCCAGGACCCTATGCGGCACCATTAGCATAGGATTGGCTTTGCCTTCCCCAGGTGGGATACCTGGAGGTCTCCGCTTACCTCAGCCAGTTGCCCCATTCCACCTAGGGAGGCATTGCCAAAGTAATCAAGCCAGATGGAGGGGCACCCTGCTCACACAATAGGGTGAGGATCTTACCTGGGACTTGTCAGTTTGGAGGACTCCGCCTGTTCACACAAAACCTTTGGCTCTCTGCAGATGTTTCTGAACTTCAACTCCCCTCAGGCCCAGCCGTTCCCAGTGTAGATTATCCTGAGCTGGACAGATCAACAATGTGACTCTGTATAAGACAGTTCCCTATATTCCTAAATTCTAAAGCTTCAAGAATCAGAATGGATTGAACATCCATTTCTTTTTAGGTGGGGTATGGCAGAATTGGTTGACAACTGAATGCAAAGAAACCTCTTTTGAGATCCTGGATTCTATGGAAAGATAGCTGCAGTGGTTTTTCTAACCGGGAAGCACTTCCAGTTTTGGGGTATGCCAAAAACAAATCACTTCATTTTCCCTAGTATTTTGTGGGTAGTTAGCCTGAAACACAAAGGGGTTCACTTCTGGGACTGCCACTTCCTCAGCCAGTGGTGGGTTATCCTTTAACCCACAGGCCAAATTTGGCTTAAAAGATGTCCTAATTCAGCCCACAAATCTATTTCCAAAAGTTACCTGCCCTATAACTGATGGCATATGTGGAAATTTCCAGAAGCCATAAAGCTCCTAGTGGTTGGCTTCTGATATTTTCAATTTAAAGAATATTTAGTTGGCTACAGAGGAGTCCTCTTTGTCCTCTCCTGCTGGAAAACAAATGGCTACAAGGGACTGCGCCTTAGTGCAGGCCCAATAGTTACAATTTTTGATCTTACATAGAAATTATGTAGAGTATGATGCAACCCTTTCCTGGCTGTATGCTTATGGTTGCAGAAGTAAACATGTAAAACAGCACCAGTTTTGATTATCTGCTGTTAAAAAGGTAAAGGTAAAGGTAAAGGTACCCCTGCCCATATGGGCCAGTCGTGCCCGACTGTAGGGTTGTGCGCCCATCTCACTTAAGAGGCCGGGGACCATCTGCTGTTAAGGCTCAACTAAATCTCTCAGCACCTCTCTCCGAGGGCTTTTCTTTTTCATTTGGAAAAATTGTTAAATGCGTGCATTTGTTTCTGCATGCATATAATCAGGGAAATTTTATGTTTAAGAAAAATGTCAATCATTATCTTTCTCTTTCAGATTCTAATTCCTTCATTTGATAGTTTTTCCTCAATATTTAGTTAAAGTCAGCATCTGTTACTTTGTTTTTTGGAAATTCAAATTTGCAACTAGAATCATCTCCTCTAGTCTGCTATTGGTTTCTTTTAAATTTTAAATCCAAATGGAGCAGAGTTGGCAGGCTGAAGATTCCTGCCTCTGAATGTCAAGTCTGCCAGTTTTGAGGGAAATTGGACAGAGGGCTCTCATGACAGAGGAAAATGAATAAAGAAATGACATTGAATATACTTCATTGGTTGTGCAGAAAAGGGAGGAAATATTCTGCAAATCAGGAGAACATTTTACAGAATATTTAGTTGATTACAGAGGAGTTATCCTTGTCCTCTCCTCCTGGAAGATAAAATCCTTCAAGGGACTGAGCCTTAGTGCAGGTCTATAGTTGCCCTTTTTATCTTATATTGGAATCCTGCAGAGTATGAGGCAACCATTTCCTGGCTGTATGCTTATGGCTGCAAAAGTGAATATGTAAAGTAGCACCAGTCTTGGATTATCTCCTCTTAGGGCTCAACTAAATCTCACAGCAAATCTCACCCAGGGTTTTCCTTCTTCTTTCTTAAAAAAAGTGATAAGCATGCATGTGTTTCTGCATACAAATAATTAGGAAAAGAATGAGCACTACAAAAATGTTCATCATTCTCTTTCTATTTCAGATTTTGAAATATCTTCATAATCCCTTTATTTCATAATTTCCATCAATATTTCATTAATTTGGGATTTGTTAATTTGTGTTTTGGATATCATTATGTCTTGCGACTAGTGTCCTTCCTTCTATTCTGCTATTGAATTCTTTGAAATTTTGAATTGAAATAAAGTGAAGTTGGCAGGCAGGAGACTCATGCTTCTGAATATCAGGTCTGCCAGATTTCAGGGAGACTGAACAGAGGGCACCCATTTGAGAGGAAATTGAATAAAGAGAAGACATTGGATACACCTCTGTTGTCTGTGCAGAAAAGGGAGGGAAAATTCTGCCAGTCAGGAGAACGTGACTCAGTCTCTCTCAATGATTGCTGGGTGAATTTTGCTTGGAAAAATCCACCAAGAATCTTCTCAGCAACTATTGACAGAGAATGGATAACATTCATATTTCTGAGAGTAAGAAGCGCTTGTCAGTGGAACCTCCTCCATTGGATGGTTAGAGAGTCATTGGTCGAGTTGTATTTCCTGCACTGCGGAGGGTTGATCGAGACTCTTCAACACTGACATTTTGGATTTGGAAGGTTTTAACAATGTATTTGGATGGCATGCATATCTGTGGTACAATAAGGTCAAAGCACATAAAGCATTTAAAAACCATATTGACAGGAAAGCATTGTTTAATGTTTGGATAAGATATAAGGATTTATTGGAAAATAAAACCCCAAGGTGGCTGTCACCGATGGAAGCGAAAGCTTTGAAAAAGCTCAATATGGAGGTCAAATGGCCGAAATATTGGGAAATTTTGGAACAAGATGGAGATAGATTGAAACTGCAAAGTTTTGAAAACTAAAAAACAAAGTGCGAGACTGGCTTCATTATTATCAGATAATGGAGGCATACAATTTGGACAAGAAAATCGGCTTCCAGGTGGAAAAATCAAAATTAGAAACAAAATTGTTAGAACCCAAAACTAAAATTTTGTCAAAGATGTATAACTTGCTGTTGAAATGGAATACTCAGGATGAAACGGTGAAATCTGCTATGATTAAATGGGCACAAGATGTTGGACATAATATTATGTTTGCTGACTGGGAACAGTTGTGGACCACAGGTATGAAATTTACGGCATGTAATGCCTTAAGAGAAAATATTATGAAAATGATATACAGGTGGTACATAACCCCAGTCAAGCTTGCAAAAATCTATCATGTGCCTGATAATAAATGTTGGAAATGTAAAGAAACTGAAGGTACATTTTTTCACCTTTGGTGGACGTGCCCAAAGATTAAGGCTTTCTGGGAGATGATATATAATGAACAAAAAAGGGTATTTAAATATACCTTCTTGAAGAAACCAGAGGCCTTTCTCCTGGGCATAGTCGGCCAATCGGTGTTAAAAAAGGATAGAACTTTATGTATGCTACAACAGCAGCAAGAATACTCATTGCAAAGCATTGGAAGACACAAGATTTACCCACACTGGAGGAATGGCAGATGAAATTAATGGACTATATGGAATTGGCAGAAATGACTGGCAGAATCCGTGACCAGGGAGAAGAGTCGGTGGAAGAAGATTGGAAGAAATTTTAAAACTATTTACAGAAATATTGCAAAATTAATGAATGTTAGAATGATGTTGGATTGAAGTTAAGTGGTTTCTAGCTGTATAGGTACAAAAGAATATGGAAAAATTGGATTTTAATTTGTAAAAATCTAATGTTACAATATATCAAGATTAAGGATTAGGATTAAAAAGGAGGGAAAGGAATTGTTGGATTAACAAATTGAATTGGAATACAAAAGAGGGAGGTATGAGGAGGTCCAGGAAACAAGTAAACGTAAAAGAAGTGAGGAAAAGATGGAATTGTTTTTAACTGTTTTTTCTTTGTTTTTCTACTTTGTATTTTTCCTTCTTATTGTTAATTTTTTTTTATTAATGTGATTTTTTTTCCTTTGAAACTTTAATAAATATTATTCTTAAAAAAAAAAAGAGACTCTTCAATTCTTCTTGTCACTTGGCAGATTGTATTTATTCACTGTGGTATCAAAGCAAGTATATTGGAGTGCACCTCCCTTTTCATGGCAAGCGTGGGGATCATTTTCAGCCACCTTCCTTTGTGAGCAAACTTGACAGCAGTGTGCAGGGCCAGAGCCCAAACTGGTGCAGTCAGTGACAAAGGGTACAGAACAACATATGGGAATCGTATCTTTGCATGGTATCCAAACACTTCCACACACACTCTTTACATTATACATCCAAACAACCAAGAGGCGTTATCAGAGTTCAATAATTCATTCTAGGATGGAAGTAGCGTGGAAGGCAGGGTCCGGGGGGGCAGGCTTGAGAAGTGGAGTGTTGGAGGGATGGAAAGGAATCTTGGGAAACTTCAAAGGGCTGGATAGAGTAGCTGGGGGTGGGGTGGGGAAATAGAGCCTGATGCTTCACCCCATTTCATTATCTTTTAAATTGGGAAACATGACTGATCCTAGCTTGATTGAATTCTCCTGGTGGAAGTTTTCCCCAACTGATGTCTTTATTCAAGGAAGGAACGTGTCATATCTCTGCTGTACTTTTTGCTGGGACGCATTAATTAAAACAAGGTTGGTGTCTCTGAAGTTCCTGTGTTAAGTCTCACAGTCTTTCAGCCTGGAGTTTCAGCCTGTTTTACCTTGAGACATTTCAGAAGGCCCTTCATCTATTCCAACCCTGTGCAATGCAGGTGTTTCTCTACCTTGGTTCCCCTTGCCTAGCAGGGAGGGAAACTGAGTAGT